CTGAAGGACTTCGCCCAATTTAACGTGGAATCATCCATTCAATAGCTGTTGGTTTTAAGGTAGGTTTTAGTTTATCCCGGGCTACGGTTGATTAAGGTGATTTTCCAAATCTTGAAAACAGTAAAGATTTTTCGTAACGAGTGAAGGTATTAGTATAAACCCAAGAACTCGTTTAATTAGCTTGCGTTTAGTTTTTCCCTTCACGAGTCAAAACTTGTTGGGTGCCTTTAAAAATGATCTGGACATGCGTATCTTGGCTCTATAGGGCAGATTTTTGTCCAAAAATTGTCGAATGTCAAAATCTAAATAGACATTTTTGCCGTGTCTATGAAAACCACGCAGTAGGAAATTGTCTTATTTGGATACACAGAATCAATACGTTTATTGAGGGGGGGGGGGGGGGAGGAGGAAGTGACGACACGCTGTGACGACGGTGGGAGGGTCGGGGGGGGGGAGGGATTAATATTGGAGTAAATGAACAAAACAGTGTTCATGCTGGTAGAGTTGATGAACGGATGTAAAGTAATTGATAGCTGGGGTCGTAATATAAGACAGGCTATTTATAGATCGATGACAGAGTTTTGAAATGTCACCGGCGTGACACTACTGACCGATTTGTCTAAAATTGATACAGATATTTCACCTTTCTCGGAGTGCAGTTCTACAAAGAAAATAATGGCGTCTAAAGCCGAATCAGTTCTTGTTAATAAATCTAAAACTTATGATCAATATTCAATTCCTAATATGTATTATTTGCGTGGATTTCTTCTTCTTCTTCGTTCTTAATTTTTAGTGTTGGAAGGGATCGAGCCTTATCTGCCAGAGGGTTTGAACTCCAAGTTTTTTCGAATTTATCAACCATGAGCTTTTGCCGACTCGACCACGCCTCCATCACAATTAAGGATACGTGTCAACTGGTTATGCGCCGTTGACTCCGATTTCAGGCTGCTTTTCTTTTTGGATTTGCTTCCATAGCCTTTATCCAACCATGAACAAACTACAAGGCAGCAGTTGTTTGATTTTGGAGTTGTTCGAACTCGAGACTTTTCGGTTTAGCAACCATGAGCTTTACCGACTCGACCACGCCGACCCCTGCGTGGATTTCTGATATTTTTCTAATCCATCACTCAGTTGTGTTCGTCTTCATACTTCTCCGTACCACTCCCTACCCCTCCTTAGCTCTCCATACCTCTCTGTACCTCTCCTTACCTCTCGGCTAATAACTAGAAGACTAGATAAAACAAAGCAGTTCTTTTTGATAAATGCGTTACACCCTTCTATTATGTTGTTTGTGGTTGTAAGAGTTAAATGTTGGTTTGTTAACTGGATAGTCATTTAATTTCACGATGCTTTTGGATTGAAGAAATCAGAGGCAAAATTAGTCGGATCAAATCCACCGCATTCGGTGGCAAAAACATCAATGTAGTAAGGGTTTAAAAATATAGGCCGATCATGTCTAGTAATATTGTAACATTTAGGCCGATCATTTCTAGTAATATTGTAACATTTAGGCCGAACATGTCTTGTAATATTGTAACATTTAGGCCGATCATTTCTAGTAATATTGTAACATTTAGGCCGAACATGTCTTGTAATATTGTAACATTTAGGCCGATCATTTCTAGTAATATTGTAACATTTAGGCCGAACATGTCTTGTAATATTGTAACATTTAGGCCGATCATTTCTAGTAATATTGTAACATATAGGCCGATCATTTCTAGTAATATTGTAACATATAGGCCGATCATTTCTAGTAATATTGTAACATATAGGCCGATCATTTCTAGTAATATTGTAACATATAGGCCGATCATTTCTAGTAATATTGTTACATATAGACCGATCATGTCCAAAATCAGTGGCACAACTCAAGCTGAATAATAAAACAAGTATAAACAGCTTGGACGCTAAAATGAGGACTAAATTTTTTACTAAAAGCGGACAGCTAATGGGTGGACGGTCGGGCGGATAGACGGTTCGACGGACGGATGGACCGGCGGGCGTGTGGGTGGACGGTCGGACAAATATTTAAAGCTAAATTAAAGCTTATAAAAAGTACGGATGTCTACAGTCGCTGACACCAGCTTTAAAAATGTTACAACATTGAGTGTCAACGATAGGGCAGTACTCTAGCATGGGGTCACAAAGGGTTAGTGGGTGTCACAGAGGGGACAGGGTGGTCACACAGGGGACAGGGGGTCACACAAGGCTAGTGGGGTCACAGAGGGGACAGGGTGGTCACACAGGGGACAGGGGGTCACACAAGGCTAGTGGGATCACAGAGGGGACAGGGTGGTCACACAGGGGACAGGGGGTCACACAAGGCTAGTGGGGTCACAGAGGGGACAGGGTGGTCACACAGGGGACAGGGGGTCACACAAGGCTAGTGGGGTCACAGAGGGGACAGGGTGGTCACACAGGGGACAGGGGGTCACACAAGGCTAGTGGGGTCACAGAGGGGACAGGGTGGTCACACAGGGGACAGGGGGTCACACAAGGCTAGTGGGGTCACAGAGGGGACAGGGTGGTCACACAGGGGACAGGGGGTCACACAAGGCTAGTGGGGTCACAGAGGGGACAGGGTGGTCACACAGGGGACAGGGGGTCACACAAGGCTAGTGGGGTCACAGAGGGGACAGGGGGTCACACAAGGCTAGTGGGGTCACAGAGGGGACAGGGTGGTCACACAGGGGACAGGGGGTCACACAAGGCTAGTGGGGTCACACAAGGCTAGTGGGGTCACAGAGGGGACAGGGTGGTCACACAGGGGACAGGGGGTCACACAAGGCTAGTGGGGTCACAGAGGGGACAGGGTGGTCACACAGGGGACAGGGGGTCACACAAGGCTAGTGGGGTCACAGAGGGGACAGGGGGTCACACAAGGCTAGTGGGGTCACACAGGGTTAGTGGGGTCACTGAGGGTTAGACGAGTCATACAGGGGTCATAAAGACTGGGTTAAAGAACTAAGTTGATCAACGGGTAGGGTGTGTGTGTGGGAGTGGGGGGTGGTGATGGGGGTGGGTAGACCTCAATTGTAAGCTAAAGGAACGCCCCTTGTGGATCTATCTGGACCAGGAACAAATAGACCAGACGAATGTGTACATTGTACTTGGCATTTGATGTCACACTGACATTGTACTTGGCATTTGATGTCACACTGACATTGTACTTGGCATTTGATGTCACACTGACATTGTACTTGGCATTTGATGTCACACTGGCATTGTACTTGGCATTTGATGTCACACTGGCATTGTACTTGGCATTTGATGTCACACTGACATTGTACTTGGCATTTGATGTCAGTCTGACATTGTACTTGGCATTTGATATCACACTGACATTATATTTGGCATTTGATGTCACACTGACATTGTACTTGGCATTTGATGTCATACTGACATTGTACTTGGCATTTGATGTCACACTGACATTTTACTTGGCATTTGATGTCAGTCTGACATTGTACTTGGCATTGGATATCATACTGACATTGTACTTGGCATTTAATGTTACACTGACATTGTACTTGGCATTTGATGTCAGTCTGACATTGTACTTGGCATTTGATATCACACTGACATTATATTTGGCATTTGATGTCACACTGGCATTGTACTTGGCATTTGATGTCACACTGACATTGTACTTGGCATTTGATGTCAGTCTGACATTGTACTTGGCATTTGATATCACACTGACATTATATTTGGCATTTGATGTCACACTGACATTGTACTTGGCATTTGATGTCATACTGACATTGTACTTGGCATTTGATGTCACACTGACATTTTACTTGGCATTTGATGTCAGTCTGACATTGTACTTGGCATTGGATATCATACTGACATTGTACTTGGCATTTAATGTTACACTGACATTGTACTTGGCATTTGATGTCACATTGACATTGTACTTGGCATTTGATATCACACTGACATTATATTTGGCATTTGATGTCACACTGACATTGTACTTGGCATTTGATGTCACACTGACATTGTACTTAGCATTTGATGTTACCCTGACATTCTAGACGCAGATTTTATCATCAAAAATCAAAATACATTCCGGCTTTTATTGTATACAGGCAAAATATCCCGGCTTATACAGTTTGAACATAAAATCTATTCCGGCTCTTTCTGCCTAGACGCTGAATACATATCTGATACTGTTATCAAGGTGCCGGCTTTAAATCTTAATTATATCAAATGAAGATATAATGCACTGAAGCTAATGAGCCTCGTAATAATATAAAAAGTTGAATAAAATGTTATTAGATTTCATTCTGATTGCAATTTCCTCCCGAAAATAATTAATGATGTGTGCTAAAATTTGATTCGTCATAATAATGTTGTAGATTAATTTTTAGTATCTTGATTAACGGGTATGTTCAAGGACTCTGAATTTTAAGAAGTGTTAACCCCCCCCCCCCCATTCCCACCCTCTCACTCTTTTTATTATTCTGGATCCTAACATGGTAGTCGGGCTAGTGTCCATTGGGACATTTGTCCCATTCGGACAATTTTTGGGCATTTGTCTCATTCGGGTATTTGTCCCATTTGGGCAATTGTCCCATTCGGGTATTTGTCCCATTCGGGCATTTTTTGGGCATTTGTCCCATTCGGGTATTTGTCCCGTTTGGGCATTTGTCCCATTTGGGTATTTGTCCCATTCGTGCATTTATCCCATTCGGAAAAACGGCCATCGGGCAAACAGCATTCGGGTATTGGTCTTTCGTGTAGACCCTTTAGTTTTATGTATGTTTGGGTTGTGTATAGCAAGTTTGCCATGCATGTTTGGGTCGTCTTTAGCACAGAGGACATTGTCAACACAACCTACACTAACACTACCATCCACACCCACCCACACACACAACCTATACCAACACACCTACACACTACCACTAACCACCCACTCACACTAACTCACCCAAACACACACAACATACACCAACACACCAACACACTCACCCACACCCCACCACACTCACCTCTCCACACTGACAGCAATGAGGTTCAGCACTGAGGCTAGGGCCGACAACATCTCCACCGTACCCGACAACTTGCAGAGGGCCGAGCCACTGTCCCAGTAGGCAATCAACATTCGCACGACCTCGTAGGGCACACAGATGAGCAGGAACAGAAGGTCAGCCACGGCTAGACTCACCATGAAGGACGCCGTCACGCTCCGTGATTTCCTGGGGTCAACGAGAAGGTCAAGGGCATGAAGTTATACAATGGCGAAACGTTACTTTATTAAAATAAACACGTCAACCTCATTCAGCGAAAGATGTCGAATTCTGAATCATGACATCGTCCAGTATTTTAAATCAACTGTTTAACGCTGTATAAAAATCTTATAACTTAATTGATATGAGAAATCTCTATTTTTATGATTGTACGCGGCTTTAATACACCCTAAACCAGTGGCGTAGCCAGAATCGTCTCAAGGGGGGGGGGGGTCCAATTTTTACCCGGGGACAAACTTTCGATTTGCACCCCCCCTCCCTCAAACTCTTTCGATTTGCACCCCCCCTCATACTTTTATATACATATACCGAGGGGTCTATGGGGGGGGGGTTATAACTCCCCCCCTGCCTACGCCACTGCCCTAAACTGACGCCCCCAAAATTGCAAGTAATACCTAGCTAAGCATACTTAAAGGCAGCTAGAAAATTGTAAGATAGACCTACCTAATGCTAATCAGAACGAAATATAAGTGTGACTCACCTGTCGCCTAGCATAGCAAAGATGACCAAAGAGTTTCCTATAAGACCCAGGATGGTAAGTGTGACTCACCTGTCGCCCAGGATGTTAAGTGTGACTTACCTGTCGCCCAGGATGTTAAGTGTGACTCACCTGTCGCCCAGGATGTTAAGTGTGACTCACCTGTCGCCCAGGATGTTAAGTGTGACTCACCTGTCGCCCAGGATGTTAAGTGTGACTCACCTGTCGCCCAGGATGTTAAGTGTGACTCGCCTGTCGCCCAGGATGTTAAGTGTGACTCGCCTGTCGCCCAGGATGTTAAGTGTGACTCACCTGTCGCCCAGGATGTTAAGTGTGACTCACCTGTCGCCCAGGATGTTAAGTGTGACTCACCTGTCGCCTAGCATGGCAAAGATCACCAGCGAGTTTCCTATAAGGCCCAGGATGAAGGCGACGCCGTAGACGGAGATGGTGGGGATGAGGTGGGGGTCGGTCAGCCAGGGTTTCATCAGCTTCTCCACCTCGTCCGTGTAGAACATCAAGTTCTGCTCCACGCCGTGGTCTTCTAGCCCGTCGGTGTCCGGCGTCAGGGAGACGTTGATGGACTGGTTGTTGGTGTAGGTGTTGGTCAGGCTGGTGGATATATGACAGGTGTTGGTCAGGCTGGTGGATATATGACAGGTGTTGGTCAGGCTGGTGGATATATGACAGGTGTTGGTCAGGCTGGTGGATATATGACAGGTGTTGGTCAGGCTAGTGGATATATGACAGGTGTTGGTCAGGGTATAGGACAGGTGTTGATCTAGAAATTATCAACTTGTGACAAGTAGAAACGACAGAGAAAAGTGACTTTGTCAGGGGAATGAATTACAATTTCTCCGTCAAGTTTGTGGCACCAAGTCAGGTGTGTCTAACCGTTAAAAACTGACATGAATGAACTAGCTTGAAGTCATTAACTAACACCTAACGTTGCATGGTTTGCAGAAAACAAATAACATAACCTGCATCGATCTGAATTGTCCTCATCACACAAGCCCAGAAAATGTTTCCTTAGGAAACGAGATATTGCTTAGCTTTGCTGCTGTTTTGTTTAGTTCTAAGTTGTTTTGTTGTTGTTTTATAAAAACGGCATTGTTATAAATATTTATACATGAATGTTTTCTCGCTAAAAATGCGTTGCAGATCTGAGTTCCTGAAATATCAATGCGGATCTGATTTCCTTAATCTTAGTCGAGATAGAACTTTCGGTGTAGATTTGATTTCTCTATTCTTAGTCCAGGTAGAGCTAGCATTGTTTCGTGGTCACGCAGGTGTATGGCTCACAGTCATGACACCATCTACAAACACCATCCCTCCATCAACAACAACCCTCTCCTGCACTCTAAGACTTGACTCGTACACTCCTCCACTTCCCTCCTCTATAATAAAGTCTCAGACCATTCCACACCCTCTCACACCCTGCAACACTCTCACACACATCGCCACCCCCCTACCTGCTAGCCATGGCCGAGACTGTTGTGTGGATGTTATACCCCGAGTCCTGGCTACTCAGGCCGGCCCGGGTTCCATTCACGGCGTAGACAGAGATGCTGCTAGAAGATTCCATCTTTAGTCTGGAGAGAAAAAAGGGCGGGAATAAAGTAAGGAGATTCGTTGACAGTCAAGCTGAAGGCATAAAGCAAAGCTAAGCAGGTACCCGATATTGGTGGCATAAAGCAAAGGTGGTACCCGATATTGGTGGCATAAAGCTAAGCAGGTACCCGATATTGGTGGCATAAAGCTAAGGAGGTACCCGATATTGGTGGTATAAAGCTAAGCAGGTACCCGATATTGGTGACATAAAGCAAAGGAGGTACCCGATATTGATGGCATAGAGCTAAGCAGGTACCCGATATTGGTGGTTTAAAGCTAAGCAGGTACCCGATATTGGTGGCATAAAGCTAAGCAGGTACCCGATATTGGTGGCATAAAGCTAAGCAGGTACCCGATATTGGTGGCATAAAGCTAAGCAGGTACCCGATATTGGTGGCATAAAGCAAATCTAAGCAGGTACCCGATATTGGTGGCATAAAGCAAATCTAAACAGGTACCCGATATTGGTGGCATAAAGCAAATCTAAACAGGTACCCGATATTGGTGGCATAAAGCAAATCTAAGCAGGTACCCGATATTGGTGGTATAAAGCTAAGGAGGTACCCGATATTGGTGGCATAAAGCAAATCTAAGCAGGTACCCGATCTTGGTGGCATAAAGCAAATCTAAGCAGGTACCCGATATTGGTGGCATAAAGCAAATCTAAGCAGGTACCCGATATTGGTGGCATAAAGCTAAGGAGGTACCCGATATTGGTGGCATAAAGCAAATCTAAGCAGGTACCCGATATTGGTGGTATAAAGCTAAGGAGGTACCCGATATTGGTGGCATAAAGCAAAGCTAAGGAGGTAAAAGTATATATTTTCTATATAAATTATATAAATTTCATTTCGTTCGGGGGGGGGGGGGGGGGGGGGCGAAGAGATGCCTGGAAGAAACTCTGATCGTAACAAGATCGTTGCTAAATTACTCAATTTTAAACTATAATTTTATTACACACACCCACACACCCACACACACACGTACACACACACACACCCACACACACACACATATATATATATATATATATATATATATATATATATATATATATATATATATATGTGCATACAAGGTATACCATTGCTAAAGAACCGTGAATCGTGACAAGGGAAGTCTGATGGCACCTAAAACAGTGAAAGACAAGACGAACAAAATATGTTCGTTAAGTCACGTCTTAAAGTTCGCCGGAAACTCAATACGGATTTAAACAATGCGAGAATTAGCGCCATCTATTAACGTTTCATTGGATTTCCTACACGTGGGCGCGTGGAGGCTATTTTTAGCCTGGATCCTCACCTCTTGTCAACCATAGCATGTAGACTTGCAGAATTTCATTTGTTCTATAGAAATTTAGATAACACAGTATGTACAATTAATTGAGGTGCAACAACTCAGTATTTATTAACGGGAGTGATTTCCCCTAAAATTTCTCGAATTTACTTATAAAAGACTACGAGGTATGGCAATTCGGGATATAGACATGATTTTTGATCAATATTTAATTAAACTATTTTTAAATTGAATAGAGTCTCGTGAAAATTGCACATCAAGTGAATCGCAAAAAATGTGTGTATAATAGTGCGGAATATTAAATTAATACTTTTATAAATTCGTATGGGTTTTTTGAGAAATCGGAAATAGCGTAAAGTACTACTTAATGAAAACAGAAATAATTACTCAAAATTTTTCACAAGACAGAGAATTGAATATTTTACTTCTTTTTGAAATTTCGTCTATCTTAAACAGTACTCAAGTTATAGGCTTTTGAAAAATCGAAAGTAGAATATGTTCCACTTCCTGTTACCGGACATTGCTCAAAAGTTGATACGTAGCTACACAATTGATATAATACTTGTATATAAATTTTTTATCAACCTAGCTGTAACGGTACTCAAGTTATCGTTTTCATAGACACACTTACACACACACACACACACACACACACACACACACACACACACTTACACCCACACGGATTGAATAGCCCAGTTTTTCCGACACGATTATACGTAAAATGCCTAAATTTTGATACATCTGCATTTATTATTTTTGCCTGATTAAAAATAGTCCCCTATACTCCGTATATGATGTACTTAGAAGTAAAACGGCGAAAACTGTCAAAATTTCATGTGATTTTTGTGCACAATTACAATACTTCCTCTATACTCTATTTAACGGATAGTAAAAAATATTATATTCACCACATTTTACGCATTAAATTCTCTTCATCACCAACTCGACACCTTTAACGACTAAAGGCTTCATTGAAAAATCTCTTGGCTACCTTCTCATGTTTAAAATATGAAATTTGTAATCAACGTTTATTATGTTTTCTTTGACAGTCAAATCAAAAATCTAAAACACACGTCAACAATAGCGTACAAATGTCTGAAACACAATCCTTATGGTATATAACAGCTGTACATCCACTATATCAAAGCAAACATTCTATTCGAACATTCCAGAAACCTGATTTACAAAATAGCCTGTGTCCGTCAGTCGGCTACTAAATAACGGACGGTTGTATGACGTCACACTCACCGTTCAAGATAAAATGCCCATGGTATTTTAGTGTTTGATACACACACACCTGTAACAGGTGGCCGCAGGTGAAAGTACTACATGTCATTACAGATCCCAGTGTAAGCTGGCGGTGTAAGCTGGCGGTGTAAGCATGTAATTGCTCCACTCGAGACTGAGAGTGAGCGCTAACGCGTGTGATTCGGCTCACTCGGGCGGCGCGTCGACCTGTGGCAATGCGACAGGTAAAACCTGTCTGTCAGCGAGATGCCACGGCAGCCGGGGTTATAGAACTTGCTGCCACGGCGGGCCAGGGTTATAGAACTTGACACGGCGGGCCGAGGTTATAGAACTTGACACGGCGGGCCAGTGTTATAGAACTTTTCACGGCGGGCCCGGGTTATAGAACTTGACACGGCGGGCCAATGTTATAGAACTTTTCACGGCGGGCCAGTGTTATAGAACTTGACACGGCGGGCCAGGGTTATAGAACTTGTCACGGCGGGCCAGGGTTATGGAACTTTTCACGGCGGGCCAGGGTTATAGAACTTGTCATGGGGCCAGGGTTATAGAACTTACTGCCAAGGCGGGCCAGGGTTATAGAACTTATCACGGCGGGCCAGGGTTATAGAACTTGCCACGGCGGGCCAGGGTTATAGAACTTGACACGGCGGGCCAGTGTTATAGAACTTGTCATGGCGGGCCATGGTTATAGAACTTGCCACGGCGGGCCATGGTTATAGAACTTGCTGCCACGGTGGGCCAGGGTTATAGAACTTGCTGCCACGGCGGGCCAGGGTTATACAACTTGCTGCCACGGCGGGCCAGGGTTTTAGAACTTGCTGCCACGGCGGGCCGGGGTTATAGAACTTGTCACGGCGGGCCGAGGTTATAGAACTTGTGACGGCGGGCCAGGGTTATAGATTTAGTCATGGCGGGCCAGGGTTATAGATTTAGTCATGGCGGGCCAGGGTTATAGATTTAGTCACGGCGGGCCAGGGTTATAGATTTAGTCATGGCGGGCCAGGGTTATAGATTTAGTCACGGCGGGCCAGGGTTATAGATTTAGTCATGGCGGGCCAGGGTTATAGATTTAGTCACGGCGGGCCAGGGTTATAGATTTAGTCATGGCGGGCCAGGGTTATAGATTTAGTCACGGCGGGCCAGGGTTATAGGTTTAGTCATGGCGGGCCAGGGTTATAGATTTAGTCACGGCGGGCCAGGGTTATAGATTTAGTCATGGCGGGCCAGGGTTATAGAACTTGATACGGCGGGCCAGGGTTATAGAACTTGCCGCGGCGGGCCAGGGTTATAGAACTTGACACGGCGGGCCAGGGTTATAGAACTTGCCACGGCGGGCCAGGGTTATAGAACTTGACACGGCGGGCCAGGGTTATAGATTTAGTCACGGCGGGCCAGGGTTATAGATTTAGTCATGGCGGGCCAGGGTTATAGAACTTGACACGGCGGGCCAGGGTTATAGATTTAGTCACGGCGGGCCAGGGTTATAGATTTAGTCACGGCGGGCCAGGGTTATAGAACTTGTGACGTGTTGGTTAATGATTAGACTACACGTCCCCCAGACTGTAGAAATGAGAAGATCATGTCCATTATTTATTAGACTACAAGTTTTTTTTAAGATTGGAGACATTAGAATGTCGTGTCCATTATCCATTAGACTATCCGTTTCTTCAGATAATTCAGTCTCAGATTTCTAAGTTCCAGAAAATGAGTAATGATAGAACACACTAGAACACAATTAACATTATGATGATTACACGAGTGATTTAAACAAGAGATTAAGCAGTATTAGAGGCACTACACACCTTTGAAAATATTTCTTTCATGCATCTCTCTAGGGCAGGGGTTCCCAACCCCGTGCCCGCGGGCGCCCTGGCGCCCGCCGAACGATTCGTATGTGCCCGCCTCTCACTATTCGACAGAGACAGAATTTTTCTCTTAAACATTATTGAAAGGTTGAAGGGGATGGAAATCGAAAGTTTGAGGGGGGGGGTGCAAATCGAAAATTTGAGGGGGGGGGGGGTGCAAATCGAAAATCTGAGGGGGGGGGGTGCAAATCGAAAATTGGAGGTGGGTGCAAATCGAAAGTTTTGTCCCCGGAAGGGTCGCTACGCCTCTGGAAGGAGTTGGTCGATTTAAAATAGGTGGTGCCCGCCACCCTACCGATATTTTAGAATGTGCTCTAGAGTAAAAAAAGGTTGGGAACCCCTGCTCTAGGGAAGGAAAGTAGCTACGCCCTAACTAACCGGAATTCACCACTTATCTGGCATGAATCCATGTTATAATCCACCACTTATCTCGCATCTATCCAACATGTTATAATCCACCACTTATCTCGCATCTATCCAACATGTTATAATCCACCACTTATCTCGCATCTGTCCATGTTATAATCCACCACTTATCTGGCATCTATCCCACCTATTATAATCCACCACTTATCTCGCATCTATCCAACATGTTATAATCCAACACTTAACTTGAAACAAAAATGTATAGATCTTGTCTAGAGTGAAATTTGTTTATCACCAATATTTTTTGTTTTGTTTATTTTGGCAAAAAAACTAAGTTGCCCAACTATCTTGAAATAACTTGTTTACAATTAGTTTTTAATTCAATTAAAATCACCCCTGTTGTAGCGAGGAGGCGCCATGCCAGGATTTATTTTTCTGTAACATTTAACCCGACAAATATTGTTGATGGCAGTGATAGACTTATCCCAGTCACAAATTAATCCTATTTACACAACCGGTTTGATGGGCCGATTTAATTTGTCATATTGGAGTCTTGTTTTACAGAGGTCTTTTTTTTTTGAAGTTTTATATTTGAACATCTTTGACTTATTCGTAACGTCCACTTCTGTATAAGTCTGATGTAGTTTTTACGTCCACTTCTGTATAAGTCTGATGTAGTTTTTACGTCCACTTCTGTATAAGTCTGATGTAGTTTTGACGTCCACTTCTGTTTAAGTCTAATGTAGTTTTGACGTCCACTTCTGTATAAGTCTGAATTAGTTTTGACGTCCACTGCTGTATAAGTCTGATGTAGTTTTGACGTCCACGTCTGTATAAGTCTGATGTAGTTGTGACGTCCACTACTGTATAAGTCTGATGTAGTTGTGACGTCCATTCCTGTATAAGTCTAATGTAGTTGTGACGTCCATTCCTGTATAAGTCTAATGTAGTTGTGACGTCCACTTATGTTTAAGTCTGATGTAGTTGTGACGTCCACTCCTGTTTAAGTCTGATGTAGTTGTGTCGTTCACTGCTGTTTACGTCTGATGTAGTTGTGACGTCCACTGTTGTTTACGTCTTACTTAGCTGTGACCTATTTTGCAATGGACGTCTTTGACCTGACTGATCACGTGACAAAAACAAAATCACGGGACATTCAACAACGTGAGTACTCCCACCACGGAGTGGACGTGTTGACTGACCACTTCACGAGCAGGAAAATCTTCTAATGTCCTAGATCAGGTTTTACGGTTGTCCAACGAAGGAATGATAACAAACAAACTGTGGTCGACATGCATGCCGTATTTCCTGAACACTTGTGGATTATTTTTTCTTGTAATTATATCCATGTGCTTAAAGCTATTCCTTAAGGTAAAATACTCAAGCAAATATTTTTTCTCAGGGCACCGTTGTGATAAATCTATCTGATCAAGTTAAACTTTAGCTAGATCTCCAATACAACAATAGTAGTTTTCTCTGGAAATTATTTAGGCCAGTGATTGCAAAACATTGATAACTACCTTGTGTTTTAGTGGCATGACCGAAAGAACGCTATAGCAAATAATGTGAAACATGCTTGAGTATCGGTCTATCAAACACGGGGCACTTCGTAACGTGAGGTAAATCACTTTCTATAGCAGTTGTAGCATCGATTCACAGACACATTGACATCTGTACACAAAGTACGAAAAACTTTGTGTACAGACTTAATAACATCTTATGTACACAAACTGACATCTACTGGAGTAAATCGTACACAAAGGGACGTTTACTGTACACAAAGTGACATCTACTGTACACAAAGTGACATCTACTGTACACAAAGTGATATCTACTAGAGTTAATTATACTCAAAGTGACGTTTACTGTACACAAAGTGACATCTACTGTACACAAAGTGACATCTACTGCTGTAGTGAGTACATAAAGTATCATCTACTTTGCACAAATGATATCTACTGGTGTAGTGAATAGACAAAACGACATCTAGCGCTTGTTTGTGTGGATGTGACTGTTTGCTTTAGCTTGTCAGAAATTTGGATAAGCATGACACACTATCACGTTTCAATGACACAGATGAGTCATTTACAGTACGATGGTTTCAGGTAAGTCATTTACAGCATATTGATATAAGTTGAGTTAGTTAATTATGCACTGTTTGTCTAAAGTCTGCAGTTAATTATGCAATGTTTGTCTAAAGTGTGCAGTTAATCATGCACTATTTGTCTAAAGTCTGCAGTTAATCATGCACTATTTGTATGAAGTCTGCAGTTAATCGTGCACTATTTGTATAAAGTCTGCAGTTTATCGTGCACTATTTGTATAAACTCTGCAGTTAATCGTGCACTATTTGTATGAAGTCTGCAGTTAATCGTGCACTATTTGTATGAAGTCTGCAGTTAATCGTGCACTATTTGTATGAAGTGTGCACCCTATGAAGCAGTCTGAGTGAAGTGTGCAGTAATGCGTGTACTGTTACACTAAACATCCTGTGTCGTCTACCAAACTAATAATGTTCTTTTGTTTTCAATTACTAAATGTGGTGGAGGTTATGGGGCGAATGATATAATTGTAATGGATACATGAATCAACGTTTTATATGAAGTAACTTTGACTTATATTAATGGCAACAGATGAAGATTATTCTGAACGATTTCGTGTTGTTGATATTTCAATTTAATTTGCTCTACCAATAATGTATAAAATATTCCCAGCACTTTAATAAAATAGAAACGAAATGACAAATTAACTTGCATTTCAAACATATTTAAAGTGTAGATTTCTCTTTTTGATTGTGTATGATTCATGTTTAAAGTTCCACAACTATGTTACAAATTATTCCTACTGTAACAAGCAACAACAAAGGGAGACAAACGAAAA